TAAAAGTTTTTTTTTTCAAAAATCATGTATTAATTATATATAGAATATAGTTTAATATTTTAAAAATTATATTATCAAATAATATAGATTTGGTAACTAATCTCGGGTCTAAAGGTTAATATGGATTTCAAAATCACCAAATTTGGATAGAGAAAATGAGATTAACAATCAGAATCAATGATATAATTCTCATGTAATTAATGAAGCATTTAGCTTTAAAATCAAGTCACAATTCTCACAAGGAATCACAATTTTTAATGAGACATGTTTTAGGTCACATTTAAAGAAATATGAAGGAACAAAATAGTATCACAAATTTATGAATGACCATCACAGTCACAACCTTATAAGTCACAAACACTCAACCTCATAAGTCACGTTAACACAATATAAATGACAACATTCGTACGGAATGATAATTTTCTAAAGACACATATCTTATATCATATTCTTAAATTGTATATCCATGTTCGAAATTACACATTGTCACATTTTTGTGACTAAAAGTCATAGTCACACAATCTATATGTCACGTTTTACACAGCATAATAGGTCACAGTAACAATTTTTGCTCAAAAATGACCGAAAAATATTGTGGTTGATGTCTATGTCTGGAACAATTGTTTACAAACAACTGTTTAGTTTTGTGCTTCACCAATAGATGTACAAGTAATGCAGAAATTGTGGTTAATTATTCTGGATAAACTGTAAACATTAATGAAATCATTGTTGTGGAGAAATCACATTAGGAATTTGTGACCAATTTCTTCATCCATTCTGAGCAGTCATGCATTGGAGGTTCGAGATTCTATGTTCTGTTTTAGGATTTGTGAGAAGGTTGAGGATTAAGATAACTCATTATTTTTTTTTTAAGGAAGTGATATAATGAGAGAGAGATAATCAACTTATCATTTTATTAATCATCAATATAAGTAATGTTATTCTCTTATTTAAATTTGTATTTATAGTTTTTTTTTTGATAACAATAGATGTCCGGGCCAACTTGCGCGCACCTCGACTAATCTCTCGGAGCCCTGAAGTTTATAGTCGGATATTCACCTCAATGGCTCTGAGAGGACTCAAACTGGTGATCATTAGGAAGTAAACCCAATGCCTGAAAAATTGAGCAACCCCTCAATGTTTATTTATAATTTTAGGAATGTTAATATTGATTTATGACCTAAGCTTTGAAAGAATTTTATGAGTTTGATATTTTTAAAATTGTATTCTTAAAGTTTGGTAGTCATGACTTTTTTTTCCCAAAAGCATTTGATTAACGAGTTATAGCAACCAGACACACTTTGATTAAGGATAATCCAGTTAATTTCTTGATTATTTTTTGAGTAAGTCATTGTCTCGATTTATTTCAAGTCCTTAGATGTTAGACGATTTTGATAAAAATTGATAAAATATAAGGTTAAAAAGTTGATAAAAATTGTGAATTTTATGAAATACATAGTAATGATGGATTTTAAAAAAAAAAAAAATTAAGAAATGAGGGCTAAAAATTGATTGATGTATATGTTATCAACAAACAATCATTAATTCATAAAGTGAAATTTCTTGCTCTACAAAATATTGCACGAATACTAAGATCTGAGATAAATGATTATATTCTACTTTTCTGTATTTGTTTATTTTAGACATGTAAATTTATTTAGTAATAAAAAATACTTTGAAATACCAAAAA